GCATACAAATTGATCACGTCTGTCCTGATGAACTGTACTTACCCTTTTCTCCAGAAAAACAACATTTACATTGTTTACATTGTTCGGGTTGTTGTCCTTATTTTTATTGCCATATTCACAACGTTTCGGCCGTTGTCCTCAAGGAGACATGGCCCAGTGGATAAAAGCGTTGATTGGATCCCTTGACTTTACCCAAAGATTTGTGAGTTCAATAGCTGGTTAATGCAGAGGTGAACAAAGTACTGGAGAGTTGAGTTAGAGGGAGATAATTGTGACATCCGGAAGAGGCATGACACGTGGAACTAGAACAATCTACCCCAGTGGACGAAATAAAGGGCTCAATTCGAAATTCCAATCATTTGAAGAAGGTCGGAGAGTACAACGGTCGAAACGTCGTGAATATGACAATAAAGATGTCCGAACAATGTAAATAATGTAAATAATTGCAATACCTCATTTCAGATATATAGACAGATAGTGAAGAAGGTCGGGGCGTAAAACGGCCGAAACATCGTGAATATGTCAATAAAAATAAAGAAAACAGTCTGAATAATGTAAATAATTGCAATACCTCATCTCAGAAACATAGACTGATACTGAAGAAGGTCGGGACGTACAACGGCTGAAACGTCGTGAATATGAAAATAAAGATGAAAAAGAAACAGTCTGAATAATGTAAATAATTGCAATACCTCATCTCAGAAATATAGACAGATACTGAAGAAGGCTGGAGCATACAACGGCCGAAACGTCGTGTATATGACAATAAAGATGAGGACAGCAGTCCAAACAATGTAAATAATGTAAATAATTGCAATACCTCATTTCAGAAATATAGACAAAAACAATATTTTCCCCTGGATCCGAAGGGATGTCGAAGAGGTTCATATGGTTGCAAGAAATAAATTCATATGGTTGATTATAAATAAAATGATTCTGGAAAATTGCAGGAAAATATTAGAAATCTCAGCACAGCTTGGATGACCGTAAAGCCTTTGATAGCTTACCAAACTCTTGAATCCTTAATTTTGGAAATGTACAGAGTCTCCTCGGTGATAGCAAATTTCCTTAAATATATCATGGAAATGTGGAAAACTACATTATACTAAGTCCCACCAAAGGTGCTGCCACTTCCAATCGTTTGAATATCCGACGGGGAAGTTTTGAAAGAGGCTTCCTGTCACCCTTTCTGTTTTGTCTGTCCTTAATCCCTCTTACGCATGAACTAAACTAATGAATATGAATACAAAATAAATAACAAAGCATTCAATGAATTATTCTACATGGATGACCTCAAACTTTTTGCCAAAGACGACAATGAGTTGAAAGGTCTTCTTAATACTATAAATATTTTAATGATAATATCGGTATGGACTTTGGATTAGATAAATGTGCAAAAGTAACATTCAAGAAAGTGCGTGATTACAGAAACACAATCAAGAAATCTTGATTTTGTCACAAAGATTAGAAAACGGGGGCAAGAAGAAGCCTATAAATACCTGGGGGTCAGCGAAGGAAATGGAATACAGCAAACCCAAATGAAGGAGAAATTAAGAAAAGAATACTAGAGGCGTGTGCGTCTGGTATTAAATACTGAGTTGAATTGCCGAAAAAGAATATCAGTCATAGAACTTTGGCTGTCTCTGTAATGCAATACGGTTTCAACATTCTTAACTAGGACATATCAAAATGAGAAAGTTTATCGCTTGCCACTGCATTCATCATCCTAAGGCTGATGTTGATCGTCTCTATGTGGCGAGATCCGAAGGAGGAAGAGGATTACTTCAACAAGAAAAAAAAAAACAACATTCGGTCTTTAACGATACCTGGAAACTACAGAAGAATGGATGACTGCCTGCGTCAAAAAATTTTTAAAAAAATAAAAAATAAATAAAAAACATGAAAGAAATAAAACTTTTATTCAGTAATAGAGGAAAACAACATGCCACAATTTCAATAAATAAAACAAATAAATCGTGCAAGAAATTATGTGGAAATTCTTGTTTATAAAAATGGCTCATGTAAAATACGCATTCTTAACATTCAGCTAAGAAATTCAGGAAAAATAAGAACATATCTGAATTATGCTTAGCTTTTTTTTTCGTAATTTTTAGCCAGAAAATTTAGATAAATCTGCAAAGGAACATTTAAGAAATGGAGAATTACAGAGAGACTCAGTAGCTCTAGATATTGTCAAAAGGATTAGGGAACTGGAACAAGAAGAAGCCTATAGGTACCTAGGAATTAGCGAAGGAGATGGATATACAGCAAACTCAAATGAAGAAGAAAATAAGAAAAGAATACTACAGGCTTGTGTATCTGGTTTGGTTGGTTTGGTTTGGTTTGGTTTGCTTTACGACATATCAACACCTCAATGGGTTCTTTAATGCCCACAAAATTTTTATTGCTGCTAATATTTAAAAAAAAAATATTGCTGGTAATAATTTTTTACAATGTACTCCTGGTATTAAAATCTATTTTTACACTTTCGTAGTGTTTTGACCCCAGTTTGGGGGTTAACTATTTACCCATAGCTGGGTCCCTAACAGGTGCTACTACCCCGGGTCAGGGTGAACCTGAGAACACCAGCAATTAAGAGGTGGTTCCACTATCCTCAAAACCTCCTGATCAGAGGCCTTGCTGTTGGACGTAGTTTATCGTCTTACCCAGGATGCCCATTCGTTGTCTGTGTTAGAATTCCAATACTTTTATTTGTGATGAATTTATTTATGGTATGTTGGAAATTAGTAAAAGTGATTTTTGTATTTGCTGGTAATAATTTTTTACAAAAATGTATTGCTGGTATTAAAGCCTATTTTTACACTGTCATATTGTTTTGACACCAGATTGGGGGTTAACTATTTACTCATACCTGGGGCCCTAACAGGTGCTACTACCCCGGGTCAGGGTGTACCTGGGAACACCAGCAATTAGAAGGTGCTTCCACGCTCCTCAAAACATCCTGATCAGAGACCTTGCTGTTTGACGTAGTTTATCGTCTTTCCCAGGACGCGGATGTAGCTTATCGTCATACCCAGGACGATGTGTGTCTGGTGTTAAATACGGAGTTGAATTCACAAAACAGAATATTAGCCATAAACACTGACATTAAGCAAATGATCATCAAAATGAGAAAGCTTCTCGCTACCGCATGCATCATCTTAAGGCTGATGTTGATCGTCGTATGTGCCCAGATCCGAAGGAGGCAGAGGATTAGTTCAACTAGAACTGTCTTACAAAACTACAAGAGTCGGTCTTCAAAGATACCTAGAAACTACAGAAGACTAGATGGTGATCTTTGTCAAACATGAAATAAATAAGAACCTTTATTCTATTATAAAGGAAGCCAACGAATTCAAAAAAGAATTTCAAGTGTATGAAGAAGTGCAAATAAACCAAGATGCACCCACTGCAGCGGCAAAGAATCTAAAAAAAAAAAGAAGGCAAAAGCAAATGCAATGGAACACATGCAGAACCGATGGCAAAATAAACCTCTTCGTGGCCATTACTCTGCCCACTGATGTAAACAAACCCCTTACGTAGCGCAGAGTTAAAATCTGAAACCGAAGCTCTTATTCTTGCTGCACAAGATCAATGCTTGCTAACTAGTTATTACCAAGCACACATACTGAAAAATTGTGCTAACCTGAAGAATTTTGTGATAAATATCAACAATTGACCATCTTGCATCAGGTTGTACGGTATTGGCACCCATTGAATATGAAACAAAGCTTGATAGAGTGAAACAATATATGCACTTGAAAATCAGCAACTTTTACGGTAAGTAAACAGCATGGAATTGGTATAAACACAACTTAGACCCGGTTACCTGACATAGGACCTGAAACAATTTTATGTTTTTTACAATAAACACAGAAAGAACAATCAAAGCTAATCACCCAGACATCGTGATTAAAGACCATAAAATGTGCTTTCTTATCGACATGGAAGTTCCTGCAGGGGTAATGTATCTTGGAAAATCTTAAAAAAAAAAAAATAAACATCTTTAAAAATGTGACGCATGAAGACATCAATAGAACTGTGTAAAACCATTTTTGTCTTTGGGGAGCAACTGTTATTTTCTATTTGCTTATGCCTAGAAAGTATGAGAAATGGCTAATATTTCCTTCAAACTTTGATTTTATTTGCTTTAGTAACAGCATTCAATTCCAGTATATCTTGGAAGAAGAAATTGTCTTGCTCCTCAAAGTACGCCAACATGTTCTTCTTGAATTTAACAAGATGAGCGTCAAGGATATCAGTTTTGACGGACATGCTGCGGCCCATTTTGCCGTCGTTCATCGACAGGGTCTCAACAAACTTTGTATAGTTTTCGTCCTTTTGATCCCCCAGGAAGCCCCCCTAAACCATTGCGACAAACTGTTCTACATTGCTTTCTGCTTGCTCTTGATCTTCTTTGACAATTGCTTGCACACTATGTTCTTCTTTATCTGTGGTCCTACGAAGACACCTGCTTGGATTTTTTGCCGCAGACAGTTTAGGGAATAAGTCTTGAAGGTACATTTTTCTGCTTCGTCTGCAGTTTCATGTCGTAAGTTCGTGTGGTACATTCGATCCTCATTGGGCAATTTTTAGAAAACGACAAATGGGATTAGATTAATAGAATGATTCAAGGAAGCTACGTCCAGATAACAACTATGAGGATACTGAGGAAGGTGCTGGAGTTTTCATGAGACTTGCTGAGAGAGAGAGAAAAAGAGAGAGAGAAAGAGAGAGGGGAGAAGGAAAAGAAGGAAAAAGAGAGCAGTGGATACAAGATGACGAAAACGATAAGGAAGAAGGTGAAAATACGGGAATAAAGAATAGAGTGAGAAAGTTGATGTAGAGTGGAGAGGAAAAGGGAAAAGAAAAAGCAAAACAAATACCCATCGGGAGAAAGAAAGAAAGAAAGAAAGAAAGAAAGAAACAAACAAACAAACAAACAAACAAGCAAACAAACAAACAAACAAACAAACGAGAGGAAAAGGAGGTTGAAAAATTCAAGAGAGAGAAACTGACTCAGAAAAGAAAGAAAGAAAGAAAGAAAGAAAGAAAGAAAGAAAGAAAGAAAGAAAGAAAGGAGATGAAAATAAGGTTAAAAATTCAAGGTGACGAAAACGATGATGAAATAAGAAAAATGTGAGAGAAAGAGAGAAGGGAGTTAATGAACGGCACAGAAAGAAAGAAAGAAAGAAAGAAAGAAAGAAAGAAAGAAAGAAAGAAAGCAAGAAAGAAAGAAAAGAAACTAAGAGAGATAAGGTGACCAAAACGACGATGAAATAGGGAAAATCGGAAAGGAAGAGATGGAGAGAGCGGAGAAAGAAATAAAGAACGAAACAAAGAAAGAAAGAAAGAAAGAAAGAAGCAAACAAACAATGGGTAAAAAGGGAAAACTGAAAGAGACAAGGTGACGAAAACAACGATGAAATTTCTGAGAGAAAGATATGGAAAGAGAGGATAAAGATTGGAACGAAAAGCAAGCAAGAAAGAAAGCAAGAAAGAAAGAAAGCAAGAAAGAAAGAAAGAAAGAAAGAAAGAAAGAAAGATAGGAGGTGGAGGAAGGGAGACTGAAAGAAACAAGGTGACTAAAACGACGATGAAATAAGGAAAATGTGAGAGAAATGGCGTGTGAGAGATGCAAAAAGGGAAAAACGAACGGGAAACGCGTACAAGATTAGAGAGAGAGAGGGAGAGAGAGAGAGAGAGAGAGAGAGGGGGTATATCGATTGTGAGAGACAAGAATAAAAAAAGTGAGAGAACAAAGAGAGAAAAATAAACAAACAAAAAGCAAGAAGAGTAAAAGGAAGAGGAGGAGGAGGAGGAGGAGGAGGAGAAGGAAGAGTGTAGAAACAGAGTGGGTCCAAAATGACGACACCGTGAAGCAAAAAACAGCAACAAAAGTTAAAATAAAATGAAAAAAACAAAAAAACAAAAAAAAAACAAACAAACAAAACGGTGGACAGTGGCTGACGGGAACGGTGCAAGCGGAAAAGATTTGTTAGGGCGAGGGGAGAAACTGATAGGATTGGTGGTCAAAAAAAAAAAAATAGTATTTCTCACGTCGCAGTCGTCCACGAATGAAAAGGAAATGAATGATGAGGCTGTAAGCGAGTTAAAAATGTCAAAAAAAAAAAAAAAAAAAAAAAAAAAGATATGGGACAAAAACAAGTGGAGCATTAAAAGTCTATTATTTTTTCAAAGTATCGTTCATCAATCCAGCTTCAAAGATTGACGCAACACATTCTTCCTAACAATCCCTTCATATACGTCGATCACTATACTGCCTCATTTACTAAGCTTAGTAAATAATATTTACAACTGTATCTGTTATATTATAGTATATAAAAGTAAATTTTATTTGCGTCACAGTAGACAAACGAACCTTACTCAAATATTAAATTTACGTTATATAAAGCGCATATATTTAAAAAAGAATACTTCATTTACCTCACGACACACAAATCACCTAAATATTAGATTTACATTATATAAGACGCACATATTAAAAAAAAAGGAAGGGATATTTGATTTACGTAACGACATATATTACCCAAATATCAGATTTCCGTTATATAAGACGTACATATTATAAAAAGTCATTTATGTAAGTAAACACAGAATAGTTTATTTATGTCAGTAGACACATTAACCAACTATTAGATTTCCGTTATATAAGACGCACATATTTTAAAAAGTTATTTATGTAAGTAAACACAGAATAGTTTATTTATAGGTCAGTAGACACATTACCCAACTATTAGATTTACGGCATATAAGATGCACATGACAATTTGAAGGAAACTTTTATAATTTCAGTACACACAGATTACACAAATATTATGCTTATATTATAAGAGGCACGTATTAAAAAAAGAGGAAAATTTTATTTACGTTAAAGTAAACTCACAAATTCACATTCCATAAGGCGTACATATTTTAAAAAAGAAGGAGACATTTGATTAACATGTTAATTGGCAGGGGTTAATCACGAAATCTGACTTCAAACGCTAACCTTATAATAAATAACCAACTTGGGCAATAAACAATCGCTGTCATAATAAAAACTGCCTACCCCGAGTAATCTCCTGGGATTAACGTTGCAATAGAAACACACGAATTACTTATGCATCAGATTTACGTTCTATAAGACGCACACGTTAAAAAAGAAAAGAAAATTTGATTAACATTACAGTAGACACATGAAGTGATCAAATATTAGATTTACGTTCTATAAGACGCATATGTTAAAAAAGAAAAAATTTGATTAACATTACAGTAGACACATGCAGTGATCAAATATTAGATTTACGTCTTATAAGACGCACATGTTAAAAAAGAAAAGAAAATTTGATTAACATTACAGTAGACACACGCAGTGATCAAATATTAGATTTACGTTCTATAAGACGCACATGTTAAAAAAGAAAAGAAAATTTGATTAACATTACAGTAGACACATGCACTGATCAAATATTAGATTTACGTTGTATAAGACGCACTTGTTAAAAATGCGCAACGATAGTCAAAAATGAATCCTGTAAGTCTTCGGGAGGAGCATCATTTATCGAGCTTCGTGGATTGGCGTTAAGGAAATCACAAACAAAGAACTGTACCAGATAACAGGAACCGCATCACTTGAGGATTTTCAACGGCAGCAACAACTAAAATGGATAGCGTATGTAGCTAGACGAGAAAAATGTCATAATCAAGATGTTGTAATTCCACACTGCTAAAACAAAAGGTTAGGAAGGAAACTCCCATCAGTGATGGAAAGATCGATAACAGTTACTGGATTTGAGAAATCTATTATTTTAAGAGAATATTTTTACAAATTTCAACCCACAGTAAGTCTAAATGGTCGGTCAATGAATACCGAATGTTTCCTTATAAGGAAACAGCTAATATGACCGTTATCATTAAAATAGACACAAAAACATGACTCAAGTATTTGAATTACATTTTAAATGACGCGCATATTAAAAAAGAAAAAAAATACTGAATATTACAGTAGACACACGCAGTGATCAAATATTAGATTTACGTTCTATAAGACGCACATGTTAAAAATATTGATCGATGGTTAGAAATGAATCCTGTAGGTCTTAGTGAGGACCATACATCTTCAAGTCTCGTGGTTTGGTGTTAAGGAAATCATGCAGAAAGAACTGTACCAGAAAAACAGGAACCGCATCACTTGAGGAATACCAACAACAGCAACAAGTAAAATGGATAGCACATGTAGCTAGAAGAGCAAATAATGATGATAATCGAGATGCTGATATTCCACACTGCTTAAAACAAAAGGTTAGGAAGGAAACCTCATCAGTGCTGGAAAAATCGATAACAGATGACTTGAGAAACCTATTGTTTTAAGTGAAAGATTTTATAAATTTCAACCGACAGTAAGTCTAAATGTTTTGTCAATGAATGCTGAATGTTTCCTTATAAGGAAACGGCTAATATTACCATTGCCATTAAAATAGACACAAAAGATATTACTCATTTATTATAATTACTTTTTATAGGACACACCTAATAAAAAGATAGGAACATTTTTATGTTACTGCAAACAGAATGCTGAATTCTACAGGTAGAATCTTATTACGAAATATATTTAGTTTTTTTTCTCCCAGAATCCATACGATAAATTAAAGAGATCTGTAACTTTGAGAAAAGCCATAAGCATATTCCAAGAATTGTTCGAGCCACTGTAATCTTTCTGCATTTATTTATTGTCATTATAATTTTTCAGTTGATCTCTACTTTAAGTTATCTTTCTGTAATTTTGAGAAGAATCATTATCGTTCCAAGAATCGATATTGTTATTGATCTCGTTCTCTTTTTTAGCTTTTGTTGCTACCACAATGTTTCGGCCGAACAATTCTTCAGCCTTCCTCAGATATATTATTCTCGGTAGGTGATAGAATTTTTTTTTTTAATTTTCTTAAGATAATGTCTACCAAAACTGTCGCAGGCGATACAGTGTTGTAAGTAAAGAAGGCCGTAAAAGGTTGTGGTAACATTAAAAATAAATGAATATTAATAATAATAATTTTTATTTAATAATAATAATAATGTTAATAATAATAATTAGAACTTTAAAAAAAGTGATATCAACAGTTAAAACTCTTGGAAGGAAAGCTTAGTGACTTCTCAAAATTACGTAAGGTATATTTGCAGATCTGAAGAAGGTCTTAGGAATTGAATAAAGCTACTGGTTAAAAATAAATAAATAAAATTAGAATAAAAACGGATGAGTTCAGCATTTTGATATCTTGGGATAGTGATTTTCCTAAAACTGCAGATGGCCGTAGAATTAATCGGCCGTTACACTGTGGCAATAATAAAAGCAATAATTAATAAAATCAATAATCCAGAGAACTAGTAGCACTAGTTGAGGATTGTATTATGGTTGATTAATTTCATTTCTATCTTGAAGTATCTCATATATATATATATATATATATATATATATATATATATATATAGATAGATAGGATAGATAGATAGATACATATTTGGTTGGATAGATGTGAGTTTGTGACCCTGGGTTTAACGCTTTAGCGATCGTACGATCGCTAAAGCGTGAAACCCAGGATCACAGACTCACATCTATCCGACCAAATATGTTAGCAGAGCTCAATCTCTGATATTGAGCGCTTTCTAATAAGTACCGCGCATATAAAATATAAATAATTATACATATATATATATTTATTTATATTTATATACACTTTTCACACATATCACTCGTCTGGTAGGTCACCGGGCTAGTTAATAAATGCCTTGTCTTTTAATTCTCTCCCTCACTCAGTAAGAGTGCTTGAGAGAAGGCAAACAAATGAAAATCATTTCCCCTTCTACCTTTTTATTTATTCCACACCTCCTTGTCTGTTTTTACAAGGGAACGAAGAGATATCTTATATTTTTAAATCATTTAATTCAATTTTAATATTTATTTTCATTTCTTTCTTGAGTGTCGACTGAACAGAAAAGAAAA